AAAAAAAAAAAAAAAAAAGCCGTGCAAGGAGCGTGACTTACTGGTAATCCCTTGTGCTGCTGGCTCCTGCTTTTCTTGAAATATGAAATATTCCTCCATTGACCCCCCCCCCCCCCCCCCAAATGCCCTCTGCCTTTAATCTTCTGGTGCAACATGGTTTAATAGAACTGAAGGAGCTTTCATACGTACCTATCCCCCCCCCCCTTTATTCATAGAAGCCTTTCAGTCATCTGCCCATCCTCTATTCATAGATCCATCTTCAATCATTGAAGCTGTAGTACCAGCTTCTATGAATGGAGTAGCTGGGCGGGCATAGTTGGGCTCTTTTGATGAGTCTAAATGACAGGTCCTTCAATTCTCTTAACTACACCGCACCAGAAGATTACAAGGGAGCATGGGGATTGAGGAATATTTCAAGGAAAACAGGAGCCAGTACCACAAGGTGACACAGTGCATTAATAATAAGTTATGTCTCTTGTGCTAATTTTTGTGGGGTTTTTGCACAGCTCAGAAAAAAATGCCTGAAGCTTGATACACATGCAAAAACAATTGTAAAGGCCCCAAAACACCTCAAAATCACTAAGAATTACACTCTGTGAGTGCAGGCTTACCTCTTAAGAGAAAATCTGTTCCCAGTCGACAACTTTGAGTAGGTACCCTCTCATGTCAAATTTAATTTTTTTCTGACAAATTTATGAGCTTCCTCAAGCTGAATACACTGTGGAAATTTTCAGTGTAGTTTAAAGAGATGAAAATACAGTGATGAAAAAAAAGCATAAAGCAGTAAATGGAGAAGGTGGGTTGAAAAGGAGAGGAGAGTAAGTAGGATGGGACCAAGACAACATGGGAGAAGGAATAAAGATGGGGACTGGTTCAGTGGACTACTGTGGTGCCCCACCATGAGGAGGGATGGGGGATAAACCCCAGGATCAGAAACTGGGCATTTTATTTACCGCCTATCACTCTGACAACTGAAGTGGGGTGGTTTTAATAAATACAATTTTTTTATCTGGCTTTCCTTTCTTGGTAATAGAAAAGCCTTTGAAATGATTATCCAACTGTTTCATATTCATTCCAGTACTGACTGCTTCTGATATGCAATTTATTGCCTATTGTACATTTGCTGTCTCATTTTATGGCACTATGTTGTGTACGCCTTGCAGATTCAAATAAAGAATTAAAAAAAAAAAAAAAGACTATGATGACCAATAAATTAATTATCAATCTTTTACTTGGGTGTGTGTGGACATGTTTTGGCTATGTTTCAATGCATCTAAATAGCAGATGATGTGGCTGGTCAGCAGGATTGTTGCCTTGTAAGAAGCTGGCTAGGTTGGCTTCTGTCTTGTGGTCTTGAGAAACAGGCCAGATATAAGAAGGAATGTATTTTTGGCTTATAATTATTAAGATTGATTGCACAGTGAAAATTTGCTTTACTAAATGGTATTTGTAATAAAAAATATATTTAATGGATTGATTAAAAATGTGTGCAGATATTTTAATAATCATGTCTATATTTTTGTTTTGCCTTTTTTATGTTATGATATTCCAGGAATGTTTAGGCAGGGATGCTCAACTTTCCGAGTGATCACTCCAAACATTGATGAAGAGGCCTCCATGATGGAAGACGTTGGGATGCAGGATGTTCATTTTAATGAGGTATTGTTGGATGATTCCCATGAAAAAAAAAAAACTTTTCTGCCAACTTTTGTTATATACATAGTTTCAGTTCTGATTCACACGTGCGGTGCAGATTGAAGCTCAGGTTTCACAGCTAATTGATACAGTAAATTGGTATAATAGTGATGTAGCTCTATAAATGAATGATGACCTTTTGTACAAGATATAATAGTGATACAAAATAATACCCAGATCTATTCAGGTGACATTTGTAGGTGATTAGTGCAATACATATCAAATTACAAGTGATAATACAAAAATCCAAGTGGCACACAGTGATTCCCTATACAGGGATATAGGTCACCATATATAGGTGATATTCATGCAAATGTCCACAGCAACTGGTGATTCCACATATAACAATAGCACATACAATTCTTCAAAACATGCTCCTGTGTTGGTGCAGGTGGTAAGAGATAATCCTAATTGGCAGGCATGCCCGCTCACCTTCCCCCTGCGACCCACAGGGGCCACAACGCCTTATGGATCACTCAGGATCCTTCACGCTCCTTTCCAGGATACAGATAGCTCCACAAGCCTTAATAGCCTTTAATCCACCTTCAGTTTTTTTTCATAGACAGATGACACTGTATATACCCTTGTAAACTCGTGATGTGTTGGGATCATACAACAGAAACACAAAGATCCTCCATAGTGCAAACTGTATATCAGGTTTAATGTAGATAAAAAACTCCAAGTACAAACTCACAATTTAGCAGGGAAGACAATTCGCAGTGTGTATCACCTCTCCAGGGTGTACTGAGAGCACTCTGGTGTACCAAGATGGCGCTGGACCGGAAGTGCGTCACTACGTTGCTTCTATGCATTACTCAAGCCACTCGTAGCCCCTCGTAGCTTCGTCAGGATAGCGTCATGGTGACTGTCTCTGGTATTTGTAAGGGGATCCTACTCGTGATTGGTTAATTGTCATTGTCAATCATCGCGGCCATTTTATTGAAGTCCCTTTTATTTTGGAGACATTTCCGTGGCCATTTTCTTATAGTTTTTGCCATAACCCGAAGTAACTAGATTGGTGCAATACACACTAGATAGGTGTTAACATCATAACTTATTACACTTAAAAATCACTAATAAAGCAGTTAAGATCGAATTCAATGTTTAACCCCTTAGGAGCCAGCGTTTGCATAGTATAAATCCATTTGGACTCCATTTTGCTCAATGTACAGATTTTGTGGCTCCCTCGCTAGTGTTTTTTATATCGCTCAATACCCCAAAATTGCAGTTCCGTTGGATCTTGATTGTGACATGTTGCGCAGTGTTTAGAAACACTGTGCTTAGGGAATCCTTTGTTAATTTTTTGGATGTGTTCCCTTAATCGCATCCATAAGGGTCTTTTGCCCCCATGGCTACACCTTTTATCTGTCTATAGAACTGTTTACTATGCCAAAAATAATTATGTGTTAGGCAATATTCAAGGGTTTCCAAAATGAACTTATGTTGTTTCCATTTATATCTACTTGCGGTGTGGGTAGTGACTGGACAATACACAGAGGTTAGAATCGTATAAGAATAATAATATAATAATCTCTTATCACCTGCACCAACACGGGAGCATGTTTTGAAGAATTGTGTGTGCTATTGTTATATGTGGAATCACCAGTTGCTGTGGACATTTGCATTAATATCACCTATATATGGTGACCTATATCCCTGTATAGGGAATCACTGTGTGCCACTTGGATTTTTGTATTATCACTTGTACCTTGATATGTATTGCACTAATCACCTACAAATGTCACCTGAATAGATGTGGGTATTATTTTATATCACTATTATATCTTGTACAAAAGGTAATCGTTCATTTATAGCGCTACATCACTATTATACCAATTTATCTATTTGTCCGTCTTAAGGGGAGGATTGGATGTTAGCAGCTGTTTCTATCTTTAATAGTCATAGCAGCGCAGGAGGATTTACCAAAATATAATTGATACAGTAGTTGTTCAGTGGTTCAGGTCAGATTTACATTCAGGACAGGACAGGTTTAGATCAGGTTCAGGTCAGGATTTTATCCTGTTCACAACTGATGACGTGCAGTTTAGAAGCAGTTCCCATAGAAGTCAATAGCCTGTAAGCTGCATCTAAACCAGACCGCACTGCTCATAAATCTGAGATGACTCTTTTTCAATCCTCACTGAATCTGCACTGCCAGTGCACTGGACATATGTGAACTGGCACCATATGAAGAAATGTTATTGCACATGTCATGCGGATTGGAGGTGGTTCAAAAAGCATCTAATCCGCATTTATGTATATTGGCACTAAGTCTTGCAGTTGTGATTTAAAATGGTATGTAAAGATAAAATATTTGATTTAATTCTTTTCTGTTACTATTCAAAATGAAAAAAAATGTTTGTGTTAGTAACACAATCTTGGCATGAATTGTAACCTAAATGAGCAAAACATGACTGCAGAACAATATGGAGAGACTCTACAGTGCCTGCAATAGCAAGATTTTCTTTTATTCATTTTATAAATTTAAATTATGGACTCACAAGGTATATACACGTGATTCTGATCTTCATTTTTTCCAAAGGAACATGTTTTTTTTTTTTTTTTTTTAAATCGGCTTCCTAGCGATAAAATCTTGCTTAATGTGGGTATTTTATCAGTATCTTGTACAGTAAAGAATAGTTTTGCAGGGTTTGCACATAACCTTTAATCAGAGACACATTAAGTAGTCAATCTTTAACAAATTTCATATGTCATAATGTAATTAAGTCTTTCAGAGGATAAGTGTTGGCATTTAAGAATTCACTGATAAATTCCAACTTTGGATTCAATCCAATACCTTCAGAAAATATAGCAGTCGTCTTTTGCAAACACCCCCCCCCCCTCATCCCCATGTATGTAAAACTGGTGTGTTGTAAGATAAAAAAAAGATAAGACAGTTTTTTGTTTTTTTTTTTTTTTTTTTTTTTTTTTTTTGAAGAGTTGCAGTGCCAGTGTGTGTGTCCTAATGCTTATACCTTCCACAGTACATATATAATTCATACTTGGGACATGATTCTTGTTAACGTCTTTTAACCTTTTAACAATAGACTATTTTTACAATGCACCACTTGAGAGCTAAATTAGATTTTTTATTTACCTTGTTACAACTTTCCAAACTACAGTGGCGTTAAGCTGGTATCAGTTTAACATCAACAACGACAAACTGAATTCAGTATTCATAAACACTTTAGGGCTGGATGATGTATCATTTCTGTAAGTAACGAACTGGATTGACAAAATGTTAATATGAGGTGCTGTTGTGAATTTGTCTCTTGCTGATGAATGCTGTTCTAACCTGTGTTTAGGATGTGCTGATGGAGCTTCTCGAACAGTGTGCAGATGGCCTTTGGAAAGCTGAGCGTTATGAGCTAATTGCAGACATCTATAAACTCATCATTCCCATTTATGAAAAGCGTAGGGATTTTGAGGTATTTTTAATGAAGTTTTGTATTTTCACATTAATTTAACAGATTTTCTAATCTTTTTACTCTTCACTCTATTTGGAAATCATCATTGAATGCCCCTTATTGTAGTTTAATTAGTTTGAATTTGTTTTCATTCACCAAAATTGTAATGAAAGACCAGGTATTGTATACTTTCTGCCCATCACATAAGAACTTGGTGTAGCTCCTGGTTGTACAGTAGCATGATAGAGAAAACACGGTTATGGCAAGGACCTTAAAGTAGGCCTATCACAAACCAAGGTAATTAATTCTAAGAGTGTTATGAATAAGATATACAGTCTGAAGTCACTGTCATTAAAAAAAAAAAAAAAATGCATCTCAAAATAATCAGCCTATCTAGAAATATAAGTAGCTTAACCTTCCAAATACATTCAAACATGGCCCCCGCGCCTCCCCATTCCTGAACATTTTTATTAATCCTTGAAAGCGATGGTGTCCAATTGGCCAAAGGGAGAATAACTCAGTTTTTCCAGAAAAAAATGAAACTTATGATTTACTTTAGATGCATATATAGTTTGAGCTTAATGATGTTTTGCTACTAAAACACTTTTTTTTCTTTTATATATATATTTTTCCTTCACATGGCTTTTTCTTTTAAAATTGGGTGTTCTTTTTATTCCCCACAATTTTCTGTGTTTTAATAAAATGACAAAAAAAAAGATCAGTCAAAAGACTAGTCACCAGTATTCCCTGTGGTTTCCCTGCAGCCAATCTTTCCCCTATTACTGACATTACAAAAGAGGATATTTACTAAAACCGGAGCACAAAGAATTTGGTGCAGCTGTTCATAGTAACCAATCAGCTTCTAGTTTCAGATTGTTCAATTGGGCTTTGACAATAAAACCTACAGTAGAAGTTGATTGGTTACTATGCAGAGCTGCACCAGATTTTGAATGCACTCGTTTTAGTAAATCTCCCCTATGTCTTTTTGTGCACTATGTAGAGGCAGCCTATTTTGGAAGCAGGCTTTTGCTTCCTTATATCAGAGCCTTCGGCATGGAGAAATGTAAGCAGCATGCAGGAGATATCACCATATCTCCTATGATACATTTTTCAGGCTACTGCTTAGGCCCTATTAACATTTCTAGATGTTCCTCATAACATAGTGAATCTTCACCTTTTTGATGTCATTTTTTGTTTCCTCTGCTACAAAAATTGATTAATTAAAATTTGTTATTCAGCAGAGATTTTCTGAGATTTGACCCATGTCTTAAAACTGTGCTGACAAACACATTACAAGTTTTCTCACTGCGAGCTGAGCTATGTTGATAGACACAGCTTAGATATCCATTTGAGAGGAAGTACGGGGGTTAGACAAAAAAAAAATGGTAACACTCCATGATTTGCAGGTGTGAAAGTGATGACCCATTTCACGTTAAAAGCAGATGTGATGTAACATTCTTTTGCTTCCGCTGTGTGATGAGACACCTAGCTAACAGGTGAGAAGCCTCACTTTCCTCATTTACTGCATGCTCTGCTAGTAATACGGAGCTTTTGGTTAGTAACCATTAATACTGTACCTTGTAATATGGCAAATAAATTGCCAACCTCAGTCACAGAGGCACCAGCTAAGTGGGCACCTACAATTTGCCCTCTTTAGCTCCGGAAGCTCTGAAATGCATTGTATTTCTAGAAGCACAAGCAGTAAATGACGAAAGTGAGGCTTCCCACCTCTTAGATAAGCATCTAATCACACAGTGGAAGCAAAAGACTGTTACGTCACTTCTTGATGTGACCGGGGTGTTAAGGTTAGGTGCATCTATTTCTACAAAATCCATTTTATTATTAAATATTACTTTTCCATTTTAAATTTCAAACTGCAGGCAACTGCCCATCAACTATGGCAGAATAGGGGATACTTATATAGGCACATCCTGCTGTAGAGATTAGGAATGGATATAAATCTGGAACAAAGATAGAACAAAAAGAGAAACAGTTGCGCCACCCTAAATGTAGACTGTTAAAAAGCAGGCTGATTTAATGATAAAAAAAACACACTCACAAGAGTAGGATAAAAACAGGCATGTCGATATGTGAGAGGTCCGGTGATACTGATGGCCCTGTTCGGTACTTCTGTATGTCCCTGCTGTTCCGGTGGTTTCCAGGGCCCGGGGGGTAGCAGAGAAGTGTAGGGAGGCTCTGTACAATGGCGTCTCTCGGGACCGGATCTCCAAATATGACACGTGTTCGGAGCATGCGCGCTCTTTCCTCAGTCCGATCCGGCAGCCGTCTTAGTTGAGGCTTGTATAGGCAGTGCCGGTGGCCGGAGCATGGGATCGCAAGGCCGACTACATTGTTGTTATCAGATAAGATTGACTATATGCACTATGGTGACTAGGTAGTATAAATGTACATAGTTCTGGACATGAAGCGACAGGATGCTTTGAAAGGATTTATATAATATATATATATATATATATATATATATATATATATATATATATATATATATATATGATACTTACAATCAAACTTTTTGAAAACTGGGGGCTTTCATAAAGGGACAGTATTGCTAGCATAACATAAACCATAAGGGTCCTGCGGAGATTAAAATGAAAAATAAAAAAGCATAAGATCATGAAATTAAAAATAAATGATCAATAGCATGATGAAGCCTTAAAAAATTGGAATTTTTTTATTTTTTTTTCATCTATCCTTATCTGTATCCCTTTCTCACCCATTTTCACTTTTCATGTTCTTCATCATATTCTCTCTTTTTTTTTCTTCTCCTAACTCTCGATCCATTACAAATATCTCTTAGATGTTTTAGATTCTAACAGCCCTACACTTTCCCAAGTTCTTCTTTTTTATCTTCCACCGCATGACACAACTCCTCCATTCTAAAAATATTTTCCACTCTGTTTAAGCAATCCTTAATTCTGGGTGGCTCCAACACTTGCCAGAACTTAGGGATCAGGTCCTTGGCAGCGCTAATTAGATAGTATAATATCCTATTTTTACTATTACTGGCTACAGGCTCCAAATAAAATACACATCCACGGGTTTATTTGTATAATATTTCCACTGATTTCCTGAATGCTGTGAATTATTTCCTTCCAAAACTCTTGTATTTTTTGGCAATCCCACCAAGTGTGTGCCATTTGTACCTTTTTTACCACTACCTCTCCAACAAAAAGGTAAAGCATCAATGGGATGTACAACAATGGAACAAAATATTTAATTTTACACATGAGGTGACAGATACTGTGACCTCATGTGTAAAATTAAATATTTTGTTCCATTGTTGTACATCTAATTTTGTTCCTAACTCCCTTTCCCATTTTTCCAAAAACCTGGGAAGATCTACTCCATATCTAAAAGGATTTTATATATCCTAGAAGTAATATGTTTCGGAAATATGTTAACATTCATCAATTTTTCAAATGGGTACATATCCTCCCCAATCCTCAATGGATGGGGGAGCAATGAAACTGTTTTAATTGCCCATACCTCCACTCATCTAATGTGACAAATAAATAACTTTTCTCTCTTAACTCTTGATACGTGTATAAGTTCCCCTTAATCAAAATATCCTTCAAACATGCATTTCTATCCTTAATCCATTTACCAAAAATTATATCTTTCCCCGGGGGGAAATACTCTGTGCCCACCAATGGAATCAATACTGAATTATTTTCCCATTCTTTCTGCTTATACATTCTATCCCAAACCCTTAGTACTATTTTTGTGAGAACTCATACCTTCATCTAATAAACAAAATTTATGTAGTATCCATGCCATCTTCCCTAATGGTGCCTTCTGTTCCTTCCATAATTACCCACCCTTTTGCTTGTGAATTAAATGTCCAATCAACTTTTTGTGATCATAAAACCGCTAAATAATATTTTCTAAAATTAGGCAACCCTATTCCCCTTTTCTTTTTTACCCTACACAGTACCTCATGTCTAATTCTTGGTTTCTTATTTGCCCATATAAACCTGAGTATCAACTTTATTACCTTGAAAAAAGACCCTGGCAAACTTATTGGGAGCATGTGGAACTTATATAGAATTTTTGGGACTATCACTACTTTTACCAAGTTTATACGACCTAACCAGCAATCGCCCCCCTTTGAAAGTCTCCTCAACTCCTCCTTTATTTCCTTTATTAAGGGGACATAATTTCCCTGAAATAAACTTTTTATTGCGTTTGTTAATTTTATTCCCAAATAACGTATCTTTTTATCCTTCCATGAGAATGGAAATTCCCTTTGAAGACTCAGCATCTCTTGTTTTGGGATGTTGATATTTAGGATCTCTGATTTTGCTGGATTTATTTTCAAATTTGACAGCTCTCCATATTGTTTTAAGAGTCTCATTAAATTGGGTAGTGTTATTCTAGGTTTTACTATATCAAAATAACATATCATCTGCATATGCTGCCATCTTGTGCTCCACCTTCCCCATCCTATTCCTGCTATATCTGCACTCCGTCTAACTTTTGCTAGAATAGGTTCTAATGATAACACAAACAACAAAGGGGATAGCGGACATTCTTGTCTTGTACCAGTATACATTTTGAATGACTGGGAAAGGGATCCATTAACCTTCACCGCTGCGGTGGGACCATTATAATGCACTTTTATCCAATTAACCATTTTGGGCCCTATTGCCAGAACTTCTAACATATCAAACATACGGTAAATCCCCAGTCCACCTTATCGAATGCCTTCCGGCATTTTTTTGCAATAAGAGCGATGATCTTAGACCATTGTCCCTTCCCTTTCTTCCAGGGATGAATCCCACCTGATCCAGATGTATCTATTTCTGCCTTAGCCCCTTCATTCTCTGTCATGGCCTTAGCATATAGTTTTGTGTCTGCGTTTAATAAAGATATGGCCTATAACTCACGCACTGTGTACTATCCTTACCTTCTTTGAGTATGATAGTTATATGTGCTTGTAATGATTCTTCTTCATTTACATCCCTTCCCCTATTGCATTCATATACTCTAAAAAAAAAAAA